GCCAGTGGTGCGCGTCGTCAGCCCGTTTTGGTCCATTCCTGCTCCCCGCACCAAGCCAGTGGTGCGCTTCGTCAGCCCGGTTCGGCCCGTCCCTGCTCCCCGCACCAAGCCAGTGGTGCGCGTCGTCAGCCCGGGTTCGGCCCGTCCCTGCTCCCCGCACCAAGCCAGTGGTGCGCTTCGTCAGCCCGGTTCGGCCCGTCCCTGCTCCCCGCACCAAGCCAATGGTGCGCGTCGTCAGCCCGGTCCGGCCTGTTCCTGCTCCCCGCACCAAGCCAGTGGTGCGCTTCGTCAGCCCGGTTCGGCCCGTCCCTGCTCCCCGCACCAAGCCTGTGGTGCGCGTCGTCAGCCCGGTTCGGCCCGTCCCTGCTCCCCGCACCAAGCCTGTGGTGCGCGTCGTCAGCCCGGTTCGGCCCGTCCCTGCTCCCCGCACCAAGCCTGTGGTGCGCGTCGTCAGTCCGGCACAGCCCGTGCCTGTTCCACCGGTCAGCTGCTCCACTCCGGAGCTAGAGCAATCCGCTCCACCAGTGTTCAGTCCAGCTCCGGCCAGCAGGGCCAGACCGGATCAGGTGCGCTTTGGGGGGTTAGAGAGGGAGTGGGGGTCATGCCCGGAGCCGGATCCGCCGCCGAGGCGGAGTGCCCACCCGGCCCCTCCCCTGTTGTGTTTGGTTGGCGCGGTCGGAGTCCGCGCCTTTGGGGGGGGGGGGGGGGTACTGTCACGCCCTGGCTCTGGGGACTCTTGTATGTTGAGCCAGGGTGTGAGTTTTCATTGTTTTGTGTTCTAGTTTGGTATTTCTATGTTGGCCAGGGTGGTTCCCAATCAGAGACGGCTGTAGCTCGTTGTCTCTGATTGGGAGCCATACTTAGGTAGCCGTTTGGCATTGTTTTGGTGTGGTATCTTGTTCCGTTTGGTTTGTGTAACCGTAGGACTTCACGTTTCGTATCGTTTGTTGTTTTGTTCGTTGTGTTGTACATTTAATAAATATTATGTACGCATATCACGCTGCGCCTTGGCCCGCTTCTTCTCAAGACGATCGTGACAAAGATATTAAGAAACATCAGAACGAGCAATATCAGTCTTGAATATAAATATGTGACCGACCGCCTCGATTCGGTGTTATGTAGCAATATTTGAAATTGGGTTTTTTACATTGGAGACTCAGAGCTAGAAAATAGTATATCATTCACTGCAGTTGAGGAACAAATGGGAAAGTATTTATGCTTTGAAAGTTGATAATCTTGTAACCCCACTTTTGAGAAAATGGCCCTTGAATGTTTTGGGATACCTAGTGGAGAACTCTTCTTTGTCTACACACATTGAGCATCATTTACACCCTCTTAAGCCTTCTCCCCAACCATCTCTTTAAGGATTCACATGTGAGGCCATGTGCTAAACAGAGAGTACGGTAGTGTACAACCAAAGATTTCAAGACTAAAGGCTGGTTTTATACTACTTCAGTGACATCATGAACATTCTATTGTCGTCCGACATCAAACTTGTCGTTATGAAAAAGTATAAACACAACAACGACAGGCTGCATGACATCAGCAACCTGGTGGTCCAAAATAGCATAACTGGTGTATTTTAACACCAATAAACCCATCCGTTTAAAAATGAATTTAGTATATGTCAATCTAGTAAACCAGGCAACTAAAAGCAACTTTCTAAAACAATAGTTTTGGTTCGTTTCGTTGCTTGTTAGAAGGTGTAAACGGTACAGTGAAATGGTTACTTGCATAGTGGAGTCTTTTGTTTAGACATGTAGCTAGCTAGCTAGCTAGCTAAACAATGAACCATAATCCCAACTCATGATGTTACTACCCTGCATGAATCTACAGGTAGCTAAAGCTAACCAACTAGCTAGGTTCAATGTTAGCTAGCTAGCTAACATTAGGCTACAACTAGCAATGTGAAATGACTCTGAGACATGAATGACATTACTACACAGATCATAGACGTAACATTAGCTAGCCAGCTAACGTTAGCTAGCTAGCAACAGTATGCTTTAACTTGCAATGAAAATGACTTGGCAGCATCATGCTGTGGGGATGATTTTCAGTGGAAGGGACTGGGAGACTAGTCAGGATCAAGGGAAAGATAAACGGCGCAAAGTACAGAGAGATCCTTGATTAGAACCTGCTCCAGAGCGGTCAGACCTTCCAACAGTTTAATGACCCTAAGCACACAGCCAAGACAACGCAGGAGTGGCTTCGGGACAAGTCTCTGAAGGTCGTTGAGTGGCCCAGCCAGAGCCCGGACTTGAAACTGATTGAACATCTCTGGAGAGACCTGAAAATAGCTGTGCAGCGACGCTCCCCCTCCAACTTGACAGAGCTTGAGAGGATCTGCAGAGAAGAATGGGAGAAACTCCTCAAATACAGGTGTGCCAAGCTTGTAGCGTCATACCCAAGAAGACTCGAGGCTGTAATCGCTGCCAAAGGTGCTTTAACAAAGTACTGAGTAAAGGGTCTGAATACTTATGTAAATGTATTTGTTTTACATTTTTAGTCATTTAGCAGACGCTCTTATCCAGAGAGACTTACAGGAGCAATTAGGGTTAAGTGCCTTGCTCAAGGGCACCTAGCCTTGCTCAATGTCACCTAGTCGGCTCAGGGATTAGAACCAGCGACCTTTCGGTTACTGGCACAACGCTCTTAACCACTAAGCTAAGTCATATTGACGTTATTTATTTTTAATACATTTTCAAAAAATTCTAAACCTGTTTTTGCTTTGTCGTTTTGGGGTATTGTGTGTAGATTGATGATTAATCCATTTTAGAATAAGGTTGTAATGTAACAACTTGGAAAAAGTCAAGGGGTCTGAATACTTTCCGAATGCACTGTAGATGTGCCGGAGGGCAGGCAGTATGCCCCCTGTGATGCCTTGGGCTGACCGCACCACCATCTGGAGAGCCCTGCAGTTGCGGGCGGTGCAGTTGCCGTACCAGGCAGTGATAGTGTGGTCCTCTGTAGCTCAGCTGGTAGAGCACGGCGCTTGTAACGCTAAGGTAGTGGTTTCGATCCCCGGGACCATTCATACACCCAAAAAAAATTATGCACGCATGACTGTAAGTCGCTTTGGATAAAAGCGTCTGCTAAGTGGCATATTATATTATATTATTATTATTATACAGCCCGACAGAGTGCTTGTGATGGGCCAAGATACATTTCTTCAGCCATTTTAGGTTGAAGAGGTGCTGTTGCGCTGCCTTCGCCACAGTATCGGTGTGGAGTGACCATTTCAGGTCCTCAGTGAAGTTTTTGACCTTCTCCACAGCGGCCCCTGTCAATGTGGATGGGGGCGTGCTCTCTCTGCCATCTCATGTAGTCCACAATCAGCTCCTTAGCTTTGTTGACGGAGAGGTTATTTTCCTGGCACCGCTCTGCCAGGGCTCTCACCCCCTATCTATAGGCTGTCTCATCGTTGTTTGTAATCAGGCCTACCACTGTGTCGTCAGCAAACTTGATGATTGAGTTGGAAACGTGCGTAACAACACAGTCATGGGTGAACAGTGAATACAGGAGGGGGCTGAGCACACACCCCTGTGGGGCCCCCGTGTTACCTACCTTCACCACCTGGGGTCGTCCCGTCAGGAAAGTCTAGGACCCAGTTGCACAGGGAGGGGTTCAGACCCAGGGCTTAATGATGCGTTTGGAGGGCACTAAAGTGTTGAAGGCTGAGCTGTAGTCGATGAACATTATAGACTTTTTACCCCTTTTTCTCCCCAATTTCGTGATATCCAATTGGTAGTTAGTCTTGTCCCATTGCTGCAACTCCCGTACGGACTCGTCTTCGAAACACGACCCTGCCAAGCTGCACTGCTTCTTGACACACTGCTCGCTTAACCCGGAAGCCAGCCGCACCAATGTGTCAGAGGAAACACCGTACAACTGGCGACCGTGTCAGCATCCCGGCCAGCCAAACCCTCCCCTAATCTGGACGACGCTGGGCCAATTGTGCGCCGCCTCATGGGTCTCCTGGTAGTGACGCCTCAAGCACTGCGATGCTGTGCCTTAGAACGCTGCGCCACTCGGGAGGCCCCATGAACAGCATTCTCACAAGTAGGTATTCCTCTTGTCCAGGTGGGATAAGGCAGTGTGCAGTGCAATGGCGTCATCTGTGGATCTGTTGGGGCGGTATGCAAATCGTAGTGGGTCTAGGGTGTTGGGTAAGGTGGAGGTGATATGGTCCTTAACTAGCCTCTCAAAGCACTTCATGATGACAGAAGTGAGTGCTCCGGGGCAATAGTCATTTGGTTCAGTTATCTTCTCTTTCTTGGGTACATGAACAATGATTGAGCAAGTGGGGACCGCAGACTGGTATAGGGAGAGATTGAGTATGTCCGTAAACACTCCAGCCAGCTGGTCTGCACATGCTCTGAGGACCCGCCTTGGGATGCCGTCCGGGCCGACAGCCTTGCGAGGGTTAACCATACATGAATGTCTTAATCATATCAGCCATGGAGATCGGGAGCACACAGTCCTCGTGAACGGCGGAGGCCCACATCGGCAGCTCGGTGTTGTTTTCCTCGACGCGGGCGAAGAAGGTGTTTAGCTTGTCCGGGAGTGAGGTGGCTGGCTTTCTCTTTATAAACCGTGATTGTCTGGAGGCCCTGCCACATTTCTCTTGTGTCTGAGCCATTTAATTGCAACTACACTTTGTCCCTGTACTGTCGTTTTGCCTCTTTGATTGCCTTAAGGAGGTCATAGCTGCTCTTTTTCTACACGTCTATGTTCCCTTGCTGTGGTTAAATGCGGTGGTTTGTGCTTTCATTTTTGCGATAATGCTGCCTGTGTAATAACCCTGTAATTACACTTGTAACAACACTGTATTACAACACATTTTTTACATAACACAGTCTAAACGATATTATCATGTATGATGAAATCATCATCATGTATTACGATGATACATGACAATATACATGTCAATGGGACAACAGAGTAGACTATGACAACCATAACGTCAACAACATCATCCAACCTGTACATTCTCCCCTCAGGTTTGTTTGGGTTTGGTGAGACTCCTCCACTTCCTCTCCCACTCCCCTCTGGGCTCCGTGGCTCTGCTGGACTTCCAGCCCCGTCAGTTCGTCATGGTGTCTGGGGAGCTGAAACTCACAGACCTGGACGATGCCAGCGTGACGGAGCCCGCCTGTCAGACGGACCAGGACTGTGTCTTACAGTTCCCCCTCCGCAACTTCAGCCAGCCCTGCTCGGCGCAGGGAGTGTGCGAGGGCCTCAACGAGATGAGGAATCTTTACAATGCCTACAGGTAATACAGCTAGCTGCTCTGTTAAGCTAATTTGTTCTTAACTGACTTGCCTAGTTAAATAAAGGTTAAATAAATAAAAAAATATATGCAGCTCAATGGAGAAATTTCATTGAAAGTGAATTTAAGTACAGGAATAGGCTTAATATAAGTCTAGGAAACCAGCCCCTTGGTAAAAAAACGAAACATTGGTAAAAAAAAAAACAAGAAACCATTGGTAAGGTAGTCGTGATGTTGCATCATATCCCCAGTCTTTGTTGGTTTAGCTAGATCATACCTCGCTTTGTTCCATTTTGAAGGCTACATGTATTCACTCATGATCCTGACAGGTTTACTGCACGCTTGTTTTAACACTGTGAGGAGGAGTCAACATTGCTTCTTTTCCCCCGCCTCAGGTATTTCTTCACCTACCTGTTGCCTCACCAAGCCCCACCTGCTCTGAGACATCTGGTGGATCACATCATGAACTCAACGGGTGAGGACTGGAGTAGACTGATCGTTAGTGATGTAGACTGATCGTTAGTGATGTAGACTGATAGTTAGTGATGTAGACTGATCGTTAGTGATGTAGACTGATCGTTAGTGATGTAGACTGATCGTTAGTGATGTAGACTGATCGTTAGTGATGGAGGGGGGGAAATCGATACAGTTACATATTGGGATATTATTTTTGATGATATATCGTATTGTTTTGACAATATCGCAGTATTATTTTTGTGCTGGTTGGCTGTGCACCAAAACTCTAGTAGTTTCCTTTTATAGCTCGTTCTCCGTCTTCTTTTTAAATAGGGAGCCAATTTGTTTTCAAAACTTTTATTTCCATGACTGATCAAAAATAGTTTTCTCATGGCTCTCTCTTGTCCATCTTCAGCAGACATATGGTGAGCAAAATGTTTGGAACATCGAATCACAATAAAATCACAGTATATAATCGCAATACATATAGAATCATGAGAATCGCAATACATATCGTATCGGCACCTAAGTATCGTAATAATATCGTATTGTGAGGTCCCTGGCAATTCCCAGCCCTACTGGACATGACCCGCCATTGCTATTAATCCTCTGAAAGACATAATTGGCCTTTTCATATGTTAGAGCCCAGAGTTTTTCCCTACAACTGTAGGCCCTGCACTTCCATGTGAAAAATATATTTTTTTTCCCTGCATATCAATATAACTAGGGCTAGGGCTGTTACGGTGACCGTATTACCGCAACACCGGCGGTCACGAGTCTTGACCACAGTCAAATTCCACATGACCATTTAGCCTTCTCCAAGTTCTGATGCTGCTGATGGTCATTAGTAGCCTACCAAACTTGCTAACTGCCTGGTACTCAGCACTCTGTTGTCCCGCTAATCACTCTGACATTAATGGAAATGTATATAGGCTATGCAATTGCGTGAGAAAACAGAGTTTTGATGGCCTCTATTAAAAAGAGGAGGATCCCATTAGCTTTCTATAGGCTAGGCCTACCATATTTATTTCTCAACATTCCTAATATTAAGCACATTGCTTCTCTTTACAACAGGAGTATAGCCTACCTGGCGGGCATGAAATTGAACCACGGGAAAAGCGTCCTCCATTCGCTATTTAAGTGCATAGATGACATGTATAACTTTTTTCTGCCCCTGTTCTGAGACAGGTGTATGATAAGGGTCCATTCTAAATGAAAACTAATTTCACACATTATATTACTTAGTATATGTAAAGACAATATTAAAATCAAGAATAGTCTGATGGGTGACAATATTAGGCTATCACTTGTGAATTACAGTATGTATTGTCACTTGTGAATGATGCCCAGCATGTGCAGTAAGGCAAGAAACAGCGCACACCTTTTTTTTGCAACTTTTTTAAATCATAGTCGCACACCTCATGTAGCCTAGCCCATAGGCCTATATGGTTTGTATCACAACTAAAGTGGCCAAATAACGTCTTAAAATTAAGCACATTAATACGCTTTACAACTGGAATACATAGGCGGCGCGTGAGTTTCAAGTTTGGGGAAGATAATTTTCACCATAAAAAATGCACCTTTTATAATAAAGCATTACATGCATAATCGCATTTGCGGTCACTTTTGAGAACAGTGTTATTCCGCTAATTGATGACATTTTGGAACATTCTCACTTATAGCCTACTGCCGTGTGCGCATTGCTGCGCTTATAATGTGAAGAAATAGCCTAATAGTTTATCAACATTTTAAGCTAAACGTTCTGATCTGTTGAATCAGCCTCATTGCTTTTTAAACGTTTTTTTAATGCGAGTGGTTGTATTAATTTGGGATCTATTTCATCCCACAACTGTCCCAGAGTATGTTTGGAATATTTATTTAGAATAAGTCAACTTTTGTACTATGGGGGTTAGTAGATTGACATAGGCTAGTGCTTTTGCTGTTCGTTAGGCCTACTCATCTTGTTGGCTGACGAAATGTAAATGTCGACAGTTTTTCTAACATATTCAATATGCGCCTCGGAATTTGATAAGAGGGACGCGCGCAGTTGAGTCCCCAATGTCTTCACTAGTAGCCTACTTCAGAGCTGAGATGCCTGTGAGAAGGACCCAATCACGTGACGGGCATTGGCTAATAATAATTGAGATATCTGAGAGAGCCATGTGAGTGAGCGGTGCTTCAGAGCACGGCGATTGGCAGCCAGGAGAAGGGAAATATAATTATTATATTCAGCCCAAGGGCACAACGGCCACTTTGGCCGCAAAAGGCATGGATTTTTTAGGGGGCATTACGGCAAGGGGGATGCCGCCGGGAATTCGAGGCCTGGTGAGAATATTCTTAAGTGCTTGCCAAATTGTGAATGAGAGACTGATGAAGTGTGTGCAGCCTGCACAAGAAACAAAGCAGAGCTCATGCCTTTCATGCAACCTTTTTTCAAATCATCATTAGTCGCATCATGCAGCCTTAGAATGTAATAAAAATCAAAACATATAGCTCAACATTTGTATCACAACTAAAGTTGCATAAATAACTCTAAATGAAGCACATAGAAGGACCTGTTTCTTTGTTAACCGCTCAACACAGAATAGCCGCATGTGTGCACCCTCGGAAATCGTTTGGAGAAAAGATCCTTTGTTTTTTATTCAGCTATGTTCAATTTGTATTCTTCATAATATGAAATAATTTACATTTACATTTATGTCATTTAGCAGACGCTCTTATCCAGAGCGACTTAAATAATGCCATGGAATTCTAACCAAATCTTGTCTGCTAAATGAACTAGTGTAGTCCACAGCCATATGGCATAGCCAGATCAGGACCTAACATAAGGACAACTCATAGAATGCTATTATGTTCTTCTGAAATAGACTACATTTTCTTCATATAATGTTTATTTAGGCCTGTCTAAAATAAATAATGGATTTAATGTGTTGGTGTAGGCTATATTACATGGATTTATTATACTTTTTTTAAATGTAGATGTTCCAAAGGTCTGCATCAGTGGCTTGTAGGCTATTCGTGGAAGCCAGGAGATGCTAAACGTTTTTGTTAATAACGGTCAATTACCGTCAGACTGTCAGTTATTTTCTTGACAATCACCAGCTGACAAAATGTCATGACCGCCACAGCCCAAACTAGGGCTAGGTGTTTGGACCGACCACATGGGCCTGCCTGACCAGGGAAAAACACTTTTTTTGTTCACATTTGTGTGGGGAAATATTATTGTTCACATATATAACCAAGCATATGACTAATTCCAGTGGTGTTTCCACTCACTGCCTTTTTCTGTGCTGACCTGTGTTTCTCCAGGAGAGATGAAAGGGGGTGTGAATGACACGTTAGAAGCCTTTGAAGACATGCTCCATCTGTACAAGTCCGGACATGCACCTGGACAACGTGCCTCCATCATTAATCAGAGGTAATGTGCTATGAAAAAACCCCCGTCTTACTACAGCCTCTGGTCTAAATGGCTTTTTTACAGTGCTCTGGACCCCTCCCCTCCAAACTCTCCAGCCCTTCACTCTATGAAATATTAATAACTAAAAATGACCCGGCTCAGATCCTGCAGTGATATTTTCCATGCTCCAGCGCTGGGTTATGCAGCTGCATTGTGAATAGTGATCATCGTAAAACCTGGAAAGTAGACTTGAGTGGACTGAGCCTGGAAATATGAAGTCATGTTTTAGACAAACAGTGTTTGTGATGTATTAACACTATAAGCTGCTAGGTTCTGGCAAATTAGTTCTAAAATGTAACTGTAGCTCCAGTATGTGTCTTCAGTTACAGGCTAAACGCATTCCTGGGCCTATAGATCTTATGAATGGTCTCTGTATGTTGATTTAGCATCGGGTTCTATTTTGGAACGCCATAGACAGAGGAAATCCAGAAGAGACTCACTGTCCCAAGGCTTAAAGTAAAACAGATAAACCTAATGTTCTCCCCCTTTTTCCAGATTATTTTTTCTACTGATTGTTCTTTATAAAGGAACAGTGTGTTTCTGGAGCTCTAACCTGTCACCATTTTGTTTCCAGTGACAGGCTTAATTTTTCACTTTTAAAGTGAGCCTCTGTTTGCCTGACAAATGCCCCAACTGAAGCACTTGTCCCCCCCCATTAGTGTGCCCCCCAACATTTCCAACCCCAGCCTTGTAGGTTTAGGTGAAAGAATACCAATGGCATAACATGACACCCCTGCCACCTTCCTCTCACTGTGAATGAGTTGACTTCTGTTCTGATGTTGGGTTGGAGGGGGGAGGCAGGCGCTCCTAATTCACATCCCATGCTAATGTTTAGCAGATAAGTTTGTCCCAGGCCCCACAACGTCTCAGAAAGACCCTGGTGTTTCTTCTCCCTCCCATTAGATTATGCAGTCACGAGAGGCAAGAGCACCTCTGGAAATATGCAATCCAGATGCTGGCCCTCGTACAACCACCAAGGCTGTCGGTGCAGTCGGTGCACAGCGCCAAGGAGGTGGCCTTCATCTGTAACTCCCATCCTCACTAGCTTCATCCTGAACAACCAGAGGAAGTGGACAGGTTAGTGTCACTGATTGTCAGCCTTGAGACATTGACTGAAACGTGGTTGTCATCAGGGGTGGAATTGGAAAATGACGCTCTGGGAAGTCAACAATGTAACATGCTTAAATTCACCTTTTTAAAAACACACATTTTTACAATCAAAACGATTTCAATTTGGGAACTCCTTGTTGTCACTAAAAAGCGTAAATCATTCTCGTTGAATCCCCTTAACGCTGAGTACTTTAAACCTGATATCAAGCTCCAGTTAAGATTTACTTTAATTCTGAGTCACTGAAGAACTTTACATTTGTCTTATTTCTTTCCCTTTGCTTGTCAGCAGGCCGGCTCCTCGCCTCGTTCCGAAGCGGTTTCAGCCATCTGGTTTCAGATGTGAACTCGGAGGTGTATTTGAAAAAGATGAAAGACTCAACAGGAACTACGGTATAAGGAGTGAGACAACGGGAGTGTGGAAAATGGGGTGGGGGGAGGTTTGTTTTTGAAGAAAATAAATGAATGTGATATATTTATAGGGCTTTTGCTCAGTGGCTCGTTTGATCTGGCTGCCAATCCAGTGTGCTGCCAATAACTATTTAAAGGGATTTCCCTTGAGGTATAATTATGAAAACAATGGTACCCTCTTTGTTCCCACCTCTGCATCTCTTTCTTTGCCTTGTGTGTTGTGTTTGTTTGCGAGGTTACATGGAGCCAGTGGTAGGACTCCAAACCCCACTCTGAGGGGAAATAGAAACTCTTACACAAATACACTTTGATGATAATGCACCTTGTGGCTTGCCGTAGGAATACGGGTTTGTGCGTCGAGGGCTGCGCATGGTAAGCAGCGTATAAGTATGTATAAGCTGGATGTAGAGGCCTAAGCACTACTAAAGGACACCGATAATAAGAAGAGACCTGCTTGGGCCAAGAAACACGAGCAATGGACATTAGACCGGTGGAAATGTGTCCTTTGGTCTGGAGTCCAAATTTGAGATTTTGGGTTCAAACCGCTGTGTCTTTGTGAGACGCAGTGTGGGTGAACGGATGATCTCCGCATGTGTAGTTCCCACCGTAAAGCGTGGGAGGTGTTATGGTGTGGGGGTGCTTTGCTGGTGACACTGTCTGTGATTTATTTAGAATTCAAGGCACACTTAACCAGCATGGCTACCACAGCATTCTGCAGCAATATGCCATCACATCTGGTTTGGGCTATGTGGGACTATCATTTGTTTTTCAACAGGACAATGACCCAACACACCTCCAGGCTGTGTAAGGGCTATTTTACCAAGAAGGAGAGTGATGGAGTGCTGCATCAGATGACCTGGCCTCCACAATGCCCCGACCTCAAACCAATTGAGATGGTTTCGGATGAGTCGGATGGCAGAGTGAAGGAAAAGCAGCCAACAAGTGCTCAGCATATGTGGGAACTCCTTCAAGACTGTTGGAAAAGCATTCCAGGTGAAGCTTGTTGAGAGAATGCCAAGAGTATGCAAAGCTGTCATCAAGACAAAGGGTGGCTATTTGAAGAATCTCAAATATAAAATATATTTTGAATTGTTTAACACTTTTTTGGTTACTGCATGATTCCATGATGTGCCTTGCAAAAGTATTCATCCCCCTTGGGTTTTTCCCTATTTGGATTTCATGTAATGGACTTACACAAAATAGTCCAAATTGGTGAAGTGAAATGAAAAAAATTAATTGTTTAAGAAAATTCTAACAAATAAATAACGGAAAAGTGGTGCGTGCATATGTATTCACCCCCTTTGCTATGAAGCCCCTAAATAAGATCTGGTGCAACCAATTACCTTCAGAAGTCACATAATTAGTTAAATATAGTCCACCTGTGTGCAATCTAAGTGTCACATGATCTCAGTGAATATATACACCTGTTCTGAAAGGCCCCAGAGTCTGCAACACCACTAAGCAAGGGGCACCACCAAGCAAGCGGCACCATGAAGACCAAGGAGCTCTCCAAACAGGTCAGGGACAAAGTGGTGGAGAAGTACAGATCAGGGTTGGGTTCTAAAAAAATATCTGAAACTTTGAACATCCCACAGAGCACCATTTAAATCCATTATTAAAAAATTTAAAGAATATGGCACCACAATAAACCTGCCAAGAGAGGGTTGCCTACCAAAACTCACAGACCAGGCAAGGAGGGCATTAATCAGAGAGGCAACAAAGAGACCAAAGATAACCCTGATGGAGCTGCAAAGCTCCACAGCGGAGATTGGAGTATCTGTCCATAGGACCACTTTAAGCCGTACACTCCACAGAGCTGGGCTTTACGGAAGAGTGGCCAGAAAAAAAGCCATTGCTTAAAGAAAAAAATTATCAAACACGTTTGGTGTTCGCCAAAAGGCATGTGGGAGACTCCCCAAACATATGGAAGAAGGTACTCTGGTCAGATGAGACTAAAATTGAGCTTTTTGGCCATCAAGGAAAACCCTATGTCTGGCGCAAACCCAACACCTCTCATCACCCCGAGAACACCATCCCCACAGTGAAGCATGGTGGTGGCAGCATCATGCTGTGGGGATGTTTTTCATCGGCATGGACTGGGAAACTGGTCAATATTGAAGGAATGATGGATGGCGCTAAATACAGGAAAATTCTTGAGGGAAACCTGTTTCAGTCTTCCAGAGATTTGAGACTGGGACGGAGGTTCACCTTCCAGCAGGACAACAACCCTAAGCATACTGCTAAAGCAACACTCAAGTGATTTTAAGGGGAAACATTTAAATGTCTTGGAATGGCCTAGTCAAAGCCCAGACCTCAATCCAATTGAGAATATGTGGTATGACTTAAAGATTGCTGTACACCAGCGGAACCCATCCAACTTGAAGGAGCTGGAGCAGTTTTGCCTTGAAGAATGGGCAAAAATCCCAGTGGCTAGATGTGCCAAGCTTATAGAGACATACCCCAAGAGACTTGCAGCTGTAATTGCTGCAAAAGGTGGCTCTACAAAGTATTGACATTGGGGGGGATGAATAGTTATGCACGCTCAAGTTTTTTCTGTTTTGTCTTATTTCTTGTTTGTTTCACAATAAAACCTATTTTGCATTTTTCAAAGCGGTAGGCATGTTTGTGTAAATCAAATGATACAAACCCCCCCAAAAATCATTTTTTTAAATTATAGGTTGTAAGGCAACAAAATAGGAAAAATGCCAAGGGGGGTGAATAATAATAATAATAATATGCCATTTAGCAGACGCTTTTATCCAAAGCGACTTACAGTCATGCGTGCATAAATTTTTTTGTGTATGGGTGGTCCCGGGGATCACCCATACACAAGCAAGCCACTGTATATATTTATTTATTTACTTGGTTTGTTAATGATTGTGCTCTGACACGCCAAGCGGAGGATTGAACAACGATGGACGCATCCTCCTTGCCACCGTTAAACTGTGGAGAGACCTGTGAAACTCTGCAAAACACCACGAACAGCCACAAGTCCCTGATTAGCGTGTTGCCTCAACAGTCATAAAACAGTTAGGGGAATCATTGAGGGGATGTAAAAGTTAGCACCATTAGGAGATGATTAGGGCATAAAGTGCTGCATCATTAACATAGTGCCATTAAATGGTCACCATTTATATTAATTAAATGCAAATCCTTGGCTGGCTACCTGTGGTAATGACTCATAGAGCTGGCTCACTTCAGGCAGACCATTACTTCAGGCAGGCCATTAGAAATGAAGGTATCTGGCAAGGCTGTAACTAAGAGCCAGTAAACACACTGAATCCAATCCGGCACCGTAATGCCCCTTTTTTAAAGTGCAGGCCTACATATTTAGTGAGAAAAACTAATTAGAAGAATCATTCCATTATATTTCACAGAATTATATTTTTTGCTGGCTGCCCAACTGAAGTCTGCCCGAAAGTTTAATTTGCACAGCATCATCTAATAACATTGATATTTTTACGATCACGTTTATTTTGCGTAAATGGGAGCAAGCACTTTGGGGTTGTGGAGTATATTACTTCCAGGACTTTGGGGTTGTGGAGTATATTACTTCCAGCGAAAGTCATCTTCCACGGTTAGAGACGTAAAAACAGGCTGCGCCGATCCCAAACTTTGTTAGCAGAGAGGGTTTTATGAGGTGGGGTTTGAGTGATGTTTGGGAGAGAACCCTTAAGCTCTTATGCAAACTGGTTGGAGATCAAAGAAGAGGGTTTTGGTCGTGGTCTAGGCAGGGCCTCGGGAGCAGAGCCTCGGGAGCAGGGCCTCAGGGTCTAGGCAGGGCCTCTGGAGACGGAGCAGGGCCTCTGGGTCTAGGCAGGGCCTTGGGAGAGGGAGCAGGGCCTCGGGAGACGGAGCAGGGCCTCGGGGTCTAGGCAGGGCCTCGGGAGAGGGAGCAGGGCCTCGGGGTCTAGGCAGGGCCTCGGGAGACGGAGCAGGGCCTCAGGGTCTAGCCAGGGCTTTGGGAGAGGGAGCAGGGCCTCGGGGTCTAGGCAGGGCCTCGGGAGACGGAGCAGGGCCTCAGGGTCTAGGCAGGGCCTCGGGAGAGGGAGCAGGGCCTCTGGAGAGGGAGCAAGCAGGGCCTCGGATACGGAGCAGGGCCTCGGGGTCTAGGCAGGGCCTCGGGAGACGGAGCAGGGCCTCGGGGTCTAGGCAGGGCCTCGGGAGACGGAGCAGGGCCTCGGGGTCTAGGCAGGGCCTCGGGAGACGGAGCAGGGCCTCGGGTCTAGGCAGGGCCTCGGGAGACGGAGCATGGGCCTCGGGGTCTAGGCAGGGCCTCGGGAAGAGGGGAGCAACAGCTTTGGGGTCTAGGCAGGGCCTTGGGAGAGGGAGCAGAGCTCGGGAGAGGGAGCAGGGCCTCAGAGACGGCGCAGGGCCTCGGGAGACGGAGCAGGGCCTCGGGAGATGGAGCTGCCCAGAGCTGTCACAACCGAGTGCCCCTTCCCTTTCCCCTTCAAAACACAACTCAACCCCCAGCCAGCTTAGATAAAGTTACCTACTCGCTCTCTGCTGTCGTTTAGGGTCACAGAAGAGGTTTGAAGTGGCTGACAGGGAGGTATTAGGGCACGGTCTTAAAGAGAGAGAAAGAGAGAGAAGAAGAGAGCCGAGAGAGAGATGAGTGAGAGAGAAGAGAGAAAGAGGGAAGAGAGGATGAGAAGAGAGAGAGACCTCTCTCTCTCTCTCTTCCTCCCTTCAAACTCTCCTCCCTCCCGAAAGACTATCTCCCATCGCCTCCTTCACTCTCTCTCCCCCTCCATCCCTTCCCCCATCTCCCACCTCTCTCCCTTCTCCCCCTCTCTTCTCTCTCTCCTTTCCTTTCCTCTCTCTCTCCCCTCCCCTCTCTTCTCCTTTCCCTCTCTCGTTTGAACATCCTCAAAGATAAACATCACGGTGACAGACCCAACACGGTGGCCATGTTTTAACACAACAACTCAGCTGAATGGACCAACAAGCTTTGGGTGCTATGACCTACAAGTGACACGGCAAAA